CAATGTTTTCCCTTAGCATAAAACCACTCCTTTCCTGTTAGATGTCCAACTCGAGAATGCAACGTTACCATTAGCAACATTTGATGGTCTCGAAGGAGTTTAACAAACTTAGCTAGAAACTACTCTAAATTTGCTGGAGATAAAATTGATACTGATAAACTCGATGTTTTTAGCACAACCCCTTCAAGATAAAATCAGAGATACATTATATCTCTTACCTCAGATTCAAATCGGACTGTTGGTGATTAGATTTAGCTCAGTAAGTACCAGACAGTGAAAACAGATCACTTGTCTTATATGGTACGATTTTTAAATAATTCTGCCGTCTTATAGCAATTTCGCACATTATAAATTCAATTAAAGCAGCGATGACAAGACTATAATTAGCACTTAAGAAAACACGGACACTCCAGGGCATTAGCACTCTATTGTAGAATCAACGAGAAACTGCAAAGAAAGCTCAGACTCTAAAACAGAGAGTTTAACTGAGTTCGTCATTAATTATTGTTTATCTCTGTTCGAATGGATGTTCTGCGGTTTGCTCGATTCATATGCAAAGGATTGCTCTGCCTTCTTGAAATTCTTTGGTGTTAGTTGCCATTGTGTTGTTCTGCTTAGGATGTGAAACAAAAAGGCAAAGTTTACGGCCTTTCAATAGCAAACAAAGCACCACCTATCCTTTATTAACACTCTATTTCGGTCATTCAAAGAAACCAGATGAATGGAGGTTAAATCGCTTCCGGATACATCCAGTTCCTTCAAGCTTTTATTAAACTAAAGCTTTAAAATCCTTGAAGGAAATTGCTATCGTGTACGAGATTTTTTATCTCCCTTAAGGTTATCCGTAGGAATTTACCTTGAATTTAGTGTTTGTTTGTTGTTTCGTCGTGGCTCATTGGTACTTTAAACCGAAAGAAAAATCCGTTTTGTCAAGTGGTTGCATGACTGATCGGTTTATGTCTTTATTATCGCTGACTTGAGTAAGTGTTAACTGAAGTAATTTACGCTGCATAAATAACTAGCGGTATTATTTTAGCACGTGTATTCAGCCGAACATTTCTGTTTCTACTGAGATTCTTTAGTCTCCCATGACATCGGCTTCTTCTTTGAGGTTTTGTACTAGGTGGAAAATGCTATTGTTGAATAAAATTCCTGCAAATCATGACGCTGATGTTGTTTCTATGAATACATTGAATAAAGCTTTTTGAAGGCGGAGTAAAATAACAAAAGATGGCGAAATCGTTGTCCTTCCTTCTTCCCGCCCTAAATTTTTTCATAAGGAGTAATGTTGGTATGTAAACAGCAAATTGAATTTATGTGGCTAGTTTATAACTCATATTTTATAGCTAAACGGATATCGCTGTTAATTATTCCGTATTTGCCTTCCGGAACGTATTAAGAACAAGTCAAAAGTTTAACAATTCGTTATGACGCAAGTTATAACATGATTTAAATTTTAATCATTTTGTTAACAACAACGACTGACTATAGCTATGTAGACTCACTGATCAACTTAACAGGGTTTTTGTAAATCAGTTTCTTTATCGCATTAAACCGTTAATAAACCTGACCTCCCGAAAACGGAACCCACCCTTTCATTTGTGCCATAGTATATCTTTCTTCAGTTTTTTGCCATTATTTTGATAGTGCTGTATCGAGCTTATTGTGAGACAAGCTTACCCGTTCGGTATATCAATTGTCTCAATTCAGTCAGTGATTTCTCCACATATATGAATAGAATCCTACCAACTGATTTCGGAAATACAGTGGAACCCCGCTATCACGAAGACCCCGTTATAACGAAAAACATCTGATTAAAGCCCCGCAGAATTACAGTAAAGTATGTGGAAACGAACCCCGCTATAACGAAATGACCGTTATAACGAATATGTTTTGACGGTCCAAACGCACAATTTACCCCGCTGTAACAAATATTTTGTCCGGTCGCTCGCGGCAGTCATTAAAAACGACAGAATTGAGTAGAATCGAAATCACAGCTTGCTTTAATTGAAAGTGTTTTTGAATTTGATGTCTTGATTGTCAGCGCATTACACTGACAGTTAACAGTAAAGGAATAAAAGTAATGTTTTCTACGTTCAGTATTGAATTTTTGGTAATTATTATTTATTAATTCACCCCGCTATAATGATGCTATAATGCTGTTAACCAGATACTTCGTTATAACGGGGTCTTCGCCATAACGGAGACCCTGCCGGTATAACGAGCAATTTTTCCGGTACCGTGGCACTTCGTTATAGCGGAGTTTCACTGTACTAAACTATATGTTCAGCCACCATATACTCTCTATGCCCTGTTCTCTTTGCTTACTGGTTCGTCAGCACTTTCAATTCGAACTTCAGTGTAAACGATATCTATAACCCACGGGTAAAACTATTAGATCGCGTTTTCATGGATGCTCCTCTATGATCATTGCAGCTGGTGTAAAAAAGTTCTGGAGTACTCATGCAAATCAACTTGCTGATATTTTACAATGGACTTGTTTTAGCATTTATTGAGTATCTCACTCTCTCTTGCTCCAGTATGATAAAACTTTTGGGAGAACTAAATATAAAAACAGAGGTCTGGTCATAAAACATTTTCTTCATAAGCCGGGTAAATTATAAATCTTGACTGGGGGTCTTTCGCAGAGTACCTTCATCTTTCATTGTCCAAGCGGACTCCTTGTGCGGAGGCAGAATCGAGGTAGCAGGACCAGTTTTCTTCCAGTTTTGTCAGTTTTATTACTGCTCCACATCTTTGAGGTCTGGCCTCCGCACTCATTGGTTAATAGTCGTGGTTTTGCTGTTGAGTACAGTGGAATCTCTCTACCACGGCCACCTTGGGGACAGAAGAAAGAGGCCGTTGTGGAGAGGTGACCGCTCTAGGGGGGTAGGGGTGTCATATGACAAATTCTTTTTAGGGAGTGCAACGTGTTTATCGTGCTACGTTCTTGCTTACTGTATCCCATAGTGTTAAACCAATCATAAATAATATACAGAGAGATAAAATACACAAATCAAAATGTTAACGTGACAGAACGAACAAGTATCGTGGTCAATTTATGCTTACTGCAGCAGTATAAATGGAACACAATCAAGATACAATTAATCATAACCGCGCCTTACGGATCAAATTTCGTGACCATTCCTGACTTTTTCAAGAGTCGAAAATAAAAAAAGCCGTTGTCGAGAGGTTATTTTCGCAGTTGGGACACGGTTTAGTGACCGTAGCCGTTGTAGAGAGGTTAAAAAAGAGTCAATGTATGGACTGTCCGCCGGGACAAAAACAGTGGCCGTAGTCAGTAAAGGTGGCCGTTGGTGGGGGTTCGACTATATTTAAGGCGGGTATCCCAGCTTGAAGTAAACTTCTATTGATGTAGAATAGGTCTACCGTCAACTTTCCAAGACTTCACTTATGTAATTGATAAAAAAAGATGGTAACTATAAGTTCGACAGTGAATAAAGAAAATGAAGTGGTCAGCGTGTCAAGTGCGCGATGCGAAAAAACACTTGAGGGCAAGGCAGGATTTGGGGCAAGTAAAAAGCTTCCATTAAAGTCGGTCCAGAAAAATGTGTAGCGAACTTACTCATCGCTCACTTTTAACTTCATACTGTTTGTAACGGAACCTCAATCCATTACCGAGCAGGGCATGAGGACATGGATTAAGAGTTCTAGCAGGTGATCCTGAATTCACTCTAAACTGAATTCAGTATGGTCCACTTGGGATCAGAATCTTTAGCTAATTATATTAAAATGTGAGACGCCTTCCAATCTAGGGACAGTGGAAATTTTCTGGAATAGTTTTATTTACAAATTTGATTTTCTAAGGTCGGCGTTGCGGATTTGTAGGGAGGCAGCAGGTCATCGCACTTACAATAACCCCCCTCCTAGTTCCAGCCAGGTTTGGGAGCCGGTAGATTAACTCCGGTACAAAGAATCTTTTGTATTTCGAATTTTGTAAGAATTATTTAATATTATCAATGTTGACCGACGGCCACTGGGTACTCACGTAATTTCATATACATCAACTTGTTAGAATGTCCTGTCGACTCGGCCCGGTTACTATTCAATAATAATTAGCAAAGTTCGAGAATTTTTTTCTCTCAGTGATCAAAAAGAGATCAATTCATAAAGATTACTTTTTAAGCACAGTGAAAAAAGTTTATCATCTCATAGATCACAACTATATATGAGAATTTTCGAAGAGAATAAAACGCAAAAAAAGATAACATAATTAAATAAATAATGTATTTTTTTCTCTTTGAAGGAAAAGAGGAAATGTCCTTACGGAGTAACAAGACTGACCCAACGAGCGTATTATATTTCTGCACGACACGACCAGCGTAGTAATCATTTTTTAAAAGGACTTCCGTATTGCTTCAATACGTTAGTCCACATTAAGTGCAGTTGGCACAGCTCTCTCTGTAAATATTTGGAGCTTATTGGTTCAGAGGTACAGAAAAGTGAAAGTTGAAAATTGAATGAGTTTTTCTCGCGTTTGATTTTGAAACCTCTTTGCTCTATTCAGTCACAGATGGGCAATATTTTTAAACGCGCATCCTGCTTATACAACAATAAAACGGAAGGAACCTTAAAAGTCATTAAATAGGAAAGTAGAATTCCACAATGATGAGTTCGTCTCCGGAGTTGCGGTTGTGCCTGAATCAGCAGGAAAACCGTCTCCTGCATGTAATCTCAGTGACCCGAGCAAAGCAAAAGATTTCTTTATTTTTCTTACTGTACAGACCACCATGATTATAAAGGTACTTTGCATAATTTATTGCGCCGCTCAATTTGCTTCAAGCTGAGTCAAACTGCGAGATTAACAGCAGTATTTTCTGTTCGGTTTGATCACCTACTGTAGCTCGTATCCGTGTCTTTCTAAGCTTGTTTCCATTTTCACGTCGACTTTTTCCGGTCGAGGCCAGTGGCTCACCAAGACGTCTTACCATCTCAGACAGGTCTGATAAAATTGCTTGACTAACAGTTTTTTGTGATTGATCAATTTTGTCTCAAATAGACATTAAATAGTTCAGCGTCTTTTAAGACGTATCTTTCATAAAAACGCGCGTTGGCGTCGGGGAATTCGAAATGTTTTCAGAGGTAAGTATTTATTGAAGTTTCCATTTAAGCCAGTGTGGGGTAAAAATGTCTTAATGGGAAAACTACGTAGTTTCACTGCATTCAAATTCACGGAATTAAGACAGAAATGCGTGGGAAGTATCTTGGAGTTAAACATTTTGGAACGGCTCATTAATGAGAGGGGATGTCTAAAGGACGAAATAACTATTGTTAGACTTCCAAAAAAAGCTCTTTCTGCCAACGAGAAACGGTCTTTATGAATAGGAAAACGCTGAGGGTTTCTAATGATCAAAGCATTAAGAGAGAGAATCCAAAGTTCAGAGTTTTGTTGTTCTGCTACATGAATAGATAAGCCCTTTTGCTGGGGTCGTCACAATTTGCCGGCCCTGTTTTCCGAGCCCAGGAGAAACCATATGCCTTAAAAAAATGGCAGCATGAAAATAAACACAGGTTTGACCAACCAATGCATAAACATCACTCAGTTAGAAGTATCCTCAGCACCTTATCCTATTTTGCATTTCTTTCTTTCGCTATCAATTGAAGCGACTTTTTAACGATTGGCTTTGCTTTTCAAATTGTTCTCATGTTTATGCTTGTGCATCTAGCTCATTAACTAATTATGATATTGCAGATTTAGAGAGAATGAATTGCGTGTTCTTATCCTACAGAAATGTTTGTTTGACAAATATGATCTTTATAAATGCTAAGAAAAAACTGCATCTACTATGAGTTGCCCATTGACTGTAATTAAATAGAAACCTTGATTTTTGAGGCAAAAAAATGTGGGAACATTGTGGCTGGCTTAGTTGTTAACTTATTTTGGATGTAATCATCCTGCTTTCGTTTTTAACAGCGCACCCAGTTTGAAGAAAAAAACAGTCTAGATTAAGCCAAAACCTGCCGGTTTTCTGAAACGGAAATAACATATAGGATCAGTTTTAAGCCGTAAAAAGACGTTTGGTTTCACTTCAGTGTTCCTTACCCGTTTTTCGCTTAACTAATACATGTGAAAACATTGATTACAATAAACCGAGTGGATTTCATGACATTATTACAAAGCCTTTTTAAATAGCCTCAAATAGCTTTCTTTGTATTGAAATTTAAGCAAATCATCCGTCATATCCAAGTTAGGACCCCTGCCTTAATTTCCATGCAGTGTGTAATTGATTAGTCTCAATAACAATAAATGTAGAACCCTGAGAATTCAAAATGCACTAAACAAACAAACATATGGTGTTGGAAACATTACATTTCCGATAAAGGCCTTAGTCACTCTAACCTGTCTTTAAAGCTATCTGTTTGCATTTCAACTTTTTGAAGACATTAAGACATTCGTTTTAGTTAAATCAACCCTGTCACGCCCTTTGGGCCCTTTTCTTCAAAGTCCCGGTAACTTTCCGGGCCCGAAAGCAAGTAATATACTGTAATCACTATCAAAAGAATAAAAGCGAGGATGCAAGCTAAAAAAAAAAAAATTGTTAATTGTAAAGTTATCATGTTATCTCCAAAAACTATATGAAACATCATTTTCTTTGCTACATGGTGTAGGGGTCATAAGGTGTCTGACCTTCTTTTCAGGCAAGTTTTACACTAGAGGGATTTTCCAGATTTGTGATGAATCCGAAACGTTGTGATACCAGATTTCTTTTAATTGTCGTTCAAGAAATGCAGATGTGTGAATCCGAAATCAGTAAAAACGTTACAGCGGTTTGATTGCGTCCCTGGAGATGTTGAATGAAGTTAATACCTTGAATCCGATTACTGTTCAATCGGCAACGTTTTGCAGTGTAAACAATTCTTCCAACGAATCGGCCGGATGTCTTTTCGCCTGCGATCATCAGGGACGGCGGAGCCGGGGGGTCTAAAATTCCCTCCACCCGAAAAATGTTTTTGTTTAAGTAGGTACGTGCTGTAAGCACTAGAAGTGCCTGTCATTTCACACCTTATCCGGCTAGGTTGAGATTTTTTAGAGAAATATCTCATTGAGAATGTTGAAAATACCATTTCCGAGCCTCTAGATTTCAAAATTTTCAGGGAGAGGATTCCCCCCAACCCCCCACCCCAACAAACACGTGTCTCCGGCGCGAGTTTTTAAGCGCAGTTTCCCCCTAGTTGAAATTGCGCTCCGCCGTCCCTGAGGATACCAGTTTTTGGTAAAACAGAAATGGTGAACGTAATCGGCGACAAACTGCCAAACTGCACGATAACCGTTTTCGCGCATGAATGTCGGCAGATTTATCGATGTGTGTAATTCGTTGGGAATCCGAATACGGTTAATAGTACAAACGCCAACGCCTGCGAATCTAAAACCCTTAATGTTGTAAATCCGAAAACATTAAAAACTCCGGATAAATCTCGCCTAAGGGATTCCATCTCGCAAGGACCATTTTTCAAATTGGAATGCTTTGAAATTAAAGGCGTGTTTTTTACGTTACGTTTGGGCCATTAAACTTTATATACAACAGAATATTTTATGTCAAGCAGTTTTGTCAACATTGGAACACAATAGAAAGCATGAGGACGAGAACTACTACGAGTATGAGATTTAACTTAGAGATTTTTCGCGTATTCTCGATAAAATCAGATTCAACCCTGAACTTTATTGTTTTACTTTTTACTTGAAAATTTAATGCAGCTATTTTCTATTGGAGAGGGTTTAAAAGACTGATTGCCTTGACAAATGTTTTATTTAAGGTGTTAAGGCAAGGGTCAAACGTCGAACGTTACTTGTAACGAACTTAATGCTAATGAGAAAAATTTATTGTTTTCGCTTATTATCACTAAGTTCGTCCATGTGAAGCTCAACGGTTGACCCTAGCCTGAACCAAACGTCTACTTACATACGTTGCAGATGAGCTGAAATATCTGGCGTTGTTTATACCTAAGGACCAAACAAAAGAAAAAGAGAATTTAAGTTTAATAGTGCCCGCAAGCGTTTTCTCGCAAATTTCTTGCGCTCCCTCCAGAGTTGACTTGGACGTCGGATTTGCAACGATTTGCTTGGCTTTATATTTGCCTCCGCAAGATCTGATTGGTTGTTTAAATCATGTACATTTAAATCATCTAGTCAATGATATTTTTGGATCGTCCAATGATAGGTCTTGCTAAAGCGAAATGGGTTCTGAACGCGCGCGCTGCGCAAGCGGCGCCCCATAGCTAAGACATTTGGTTATTTATTCACCCGAGAAATTTTAGTTGCGTGACCATACCGTCCACCCGTCCTCCCACACCACAGGGCAACCAATGTGAAACCTACAATCGGCGACAAAATTGTTGAGACACTTTCCTAAAAAGAGGTGTTTTGAGCGACCCTGAGAAAGGGTCCCCCCACCCCTCCCCCCTTGACATTGTTGGGTCGTCTCCGAGTGCCCACAAACCTTGAGGCCAGCGGTACAACACTGAATAGGGGGAGTGGGGAGGGGGGACCATTGAAAGGTATTTCACACCTTTTTAAAAAAGAACAAATAAAACCTTGCTCATAAGATGTCTTTTTTCCGGAGGTGTCTCAACTAATTTTGTCGCCGATTGTAGTGTGGGAGCTTGCAACATGAAATTGCACATCCATGTTGTGGTCAATTGGCAGCTGTCAAAACAGGGTATGCGCTGACCAACATCACATGACCGTATCGCGGGCTCAGGGGTCGACTCATCGGGGTTGCGAGTTTTTTGAAGTTATCCGCTTACATGTTGCTGGTTTTCAACTGATCGCAGGCTCAACTCCAGGTGGATTTCTTTGCAATGGTTGCAAGTGTATCGTTTGAAGTAAATTACAAATTTATTAACGAGTGCTTCGCCTTTTGTCTTGGCTAAATCTATATCTTAGACTTGAATTTTTTTTTCACAGCGTGGTCATACTATCCTCTTCCTCGGAGTGGCCGTGGTTATTGCTCTACTCCCGTATGTGGTCACTAGGTCCATCAAACCTCAAGTTTGTCCTCACATAAAAAACTATCACCATATGAACAGTTCAGAGCCCTTGCCAATACGAATCAACTACCAGATCTTCAAAGTGACCTCCAATTTTCCTTCAAACGTGCAAATTGTGCAGCTTTTTTGCAAGACAGGATATTTTCTAGGGTTAAATAATATCGCCAAGAAGAATCGAATTGTCGGAATTTTGAACCAATCAAGTGAAAACAGTAAGTTTTTCCTGATTATTTGTCGTTCTTTTAATTTCCACATTTAAATAAAGGTCTCCTTTATATAATACAAGACGAAATTCACAGGATAAATACATTCTTTAACATCATCTCACAGGTGAAGGGGCGAGGTTCTCAGTGATTCTCTGAAGCACAAAATGCTGTAAAAGAGGACATACTATAATCAGGAACCCATAATCTGGAGCGAGCAACTTCCGTGTACTCGTGTCACGGCGTTTTCACGCACCAGGATATTTTTAGAACGGTTTTGGCGCGAATTTAGAATATCTTTAAAGTCCCACAAACCAGTCAGCAAGACCTACAGACCTAAAAATAATAATTTTTGCTTTTTAATGACGTTACCTTTTTTTTTTTGATATCTTATACTTCGAATGAGTTCATAGACGTGGCGGAGATTCCATTTTTGCGGAAAAAATTGCCCTAAAATGTGTCTATAAATACACTGGTTCGTAAAAACGCCGTGACATAGGCCTAGCTTGAGAGTTGCTCGCTCCGGGTTATGGGCTCCTTGATGTTAGTCGAGACTCTAAGAATAACCAGCTTTAAGAGACTGTCATGCATAACTGTGTCTTGTGTTTGTTATTGAGTTAAAGAACCATTGACTTTTTTATGATGAATACTTGTCTCTAACAAAAGTTACTTTTTCTTTGAGAACACACGCTGGTTAACCGGATTTCGTTTCCTTCCAATACAGCATTGTTCGAGTCCCAGTCCTTTGGAACAAGCATACTAAGACTGCGTAATCTTGTCACTGGGAGGTTTCTGGCCATTAATTCAAATGGGAAGGTCGTTACTCAGGTAATATGTTTCGCCATCAAGGCTAAAGTTATGGCTCTGGAGCAAATCTTGAAAAATACGTAAATTATCAATCATTTATCATTTTCTACCGTTTTCAATGATTACCGCAGCAGGATTAGCTCAGTCGGTAGAGCGCTTGATTGCAGAGCGAGAGGTCGCGGGTTCGATTCCCGGGGCCGTACCAATACTTAGGGTCTGAGAAATGGAGGTACTGCCTTTGCACTGCAAGCGGCTGGACCTTCGCGTGGCTCGGATGACCATATAAAGTAACAGTGCCTTCTACAGCAGGAGGCCTAGAAATAGTGTCCGAATTAGTACTTTCGTGTTAAATACATTGGCGCTAAAATAAAGTGCATTTTTGTCATTGAATAGAAAGTGTTTCGTATTTACCCAGAGACAAAGAAATGACGAAAGATATCTTAGGACTCACTGGATGAACTGAAAAAATTTGGGTCACGGTTTTTCATGCTGCAGACCCTACAATAGTCAATTTCGTTGAAATGCCAGAAGAAAGTTGAGGATTTTTCAAGTCACAAATTCTTCACCGACTTCTCTGACTTTCGTCTTTCTCTCCTTCGCTGCAGGACCCTATGGGCTCTTGCCTTCCCCAGTGTCCACGCTCCTCCCTTTTTTCCATTTAGAAATAAGCGAATCAACTTTGGGTGGGGCATAGTGTGACAATTGTTTCAACAGATGTGATGACTTTTGAAGCAAATTCAGCCATTTCTAGGCACGGTTCAGTTCGTATGCACTAGCAGGGTTAGATTAAACGCCAAACTAGCGTTTTTGCATTTCTATTGTGGAAAATACGTTTTTTTATCAAACGGGGTGCACAAGACAGATGAGATTGTTTTTTAAAACTTCTTTTCTTTTCTCTAGGCTAAAGTCACCGATGAAAGCTTTTTTAAGACGATGTACGAGGAAAACTATTTTCACACCTTCGCTTCTCATAAATATTTTAAACATAGACGGCATGATCTCTTCCTGGGAATCAAGCAGAATGGCCGCAGCAAATCTCCAAAGCTAACTTCCCCGGGACAAATTTCAGTTCAGTTTGTCTTGTTGCCTAACAATAACACAGAGGAGAAGGCTCGTATAACGTCGCGCGCAAAACAGAATCGTGTTAGACAAGACAAGCGAGATAAAGGATGGTAAACTCCGACGAATTCGAGGGCGAAACAAAAGGAAAACTTATTATTGTCAGGACCATTGTGAAGATTATCATACAGTTTTTTGTAGCTCTGGTAAAACGGGCAACAAAAATGTGAAACTTCTGAAACTTGTTTCGAAACATTGCTGCAAAACAAGTTGGATAGCGATGTTGCGCGTTTTACCATCCTCGTTCAAACCTGTCTTGCAACAAATCAGGTAATTGCAAATTGAGTGAGTACTGACTTCTGATTGGATAAAATTACGCGAGAGTCTCGCCATAAGCGGGAGACATCTTTTCGCAACCTGGAAAAACCTAATGTGTTGAAAGGACAGGGTGCAAGATTTTATTTGTGGGTGGTAAAACCCGCAACATTGCTATTTATCTCGTTTAGCAGCAATATTGCGAAAGTTGCACGTTTTCGTGGCTCGTTTCACCGTAGCTTTAGCAAAAAAGGTATACTTTTTCTTCAGTGGCGGGTCCAGACCTTCAGATATGGACGGGGGGGGGGGGGGGGGCCGGGCATCCCGAACCCTGGGAAAGGGGGGGGGGGGGGGTCCAAATTTTTTTTTTGCCCCCTGGGGCGCGGGGTTGGTTTAAAAAAATGGGGGGGGCCCCCCCCGGGTCCCCCCCCATTTTTAAGACCACGGTGCCCTTTTTTAGCGTGGTTTTTTTGTTTTTTCTTTCGGCGCGTTGCCGCCTATGTGCTCTTGCTGTTTTTTTTGTGTTTTGGCGGATTTTTTGGAAAGGGTGGGGTTTTTGTGGGCTGGTTCGCCGGAGGTTTCGGAGAAAAGGGTTGGTTGTTTGTGGGGGGGGGGGCCAGGCCTGGGGAGTGGGGGGGGGGGGGGGGAGGAGGCCTGGTCATCCAGACCCTGAGATAAGCGGGGGGAGCGGTCTCAAATTTTTTTTTCGGCCCTTCGGGCCTCGGTTTGGTCTAAAAATAAGGGGTGAGCCCTCCCCTGGATCCGCCACAATTTAAAGCCAGTCGTACCTTTTTTGAAGTGTGATTTTCGCTTTCTACTTAGTTATTTCCAAGCGCACGAGCACTGGTTACCTGCATGATGTTGTTACTTGTAGATCCCGTAGATGGCTAGTAGTGGTGGCTATATACCGAGGCCGCAAAGCGGCGCGGTAAATATCTTACCACTAACCACCGACACTGAGGTGATTAATTGTTTTAGTATATACTAAAACAGTGAGATAATTGAGCACAAAAATGATGATTTTTTAAACTCATTTACTGTTGCCAAAGATTACAATTTTTGTGCGCAATGACCGAACGGCCGCCGTCGTCGCTTTTTCTTGCTGACAAATAAAACATTGAAGGCATTTTTTTAGCTCTTGCCGGTAAATTTCTTCAAAAGGAGTTGTGAATTCTTTTTGTATTCATTCTATAAAAAAGATTATTAAATTTAGTTTTAAGCTTATTTATAAACAAGTCAACTAAATAAAGTAACGCAAGACTTAAGCTTAATTTGCATTTGCAAACAAAAAACTTTTTCACCAGTTTTATCGATAAATTCAATTGAAAAAGACAAAGCTTTACCTGTTGAAACTTCCAAACCGAACCTCTTCACCTTCTTCGTGTATTTTAGGAACAGATTGCTTGATTAGTTGTGAAATGTCTTTGTTTGTTACGGCAGCAAACCGGAAAGGCATTTTGCTCGCAACTTACGCGAGTTTGGCGTCGCTCTCTCGGAGGAACTGGAGGTGAATCAGTGAATGGTGCAGGATATCCACTGATTGAGTAGCCAATCAGAGCGCGCGAAAAACACTATCCACTGTTTTAATATATACTAATAAATGATATAGCACTTCTACAAGATCAGTGTGTCCACGCAGTATTTGTGTGATTTTCTGTCAACAACATACACTAAAATAGGATGTTAGTTGTTTGGGTCTTTTTTTTGTAGCAGCTTTTTACAAGATGATCACTCGCTATGTAGCCTGTACTTGTCGCACACTTGGGATGACGTCATTTGACTACAACGACCAGAATCCTTCAGGGGTTTTGCTTCCTTGTGCAAATTAGGACTTTTGTTGTTTAAACCTCGCTGGGATTACCAAATTTAAATTTAAGATGAAAAACGAAAGTGATTCTGGTTGTAGTAGCAAAATGACGCCATCGTGCAAATGGCCTATTCTAAGTATTCTAATTTCACACGAAGAGGATCATGTGATCGAAACATTACGTTGACAGTTAATTTATATGAGGATGCTTTACCGAGGGGAAAGTTGACTACAATTAATAGAGATGTTTGTGTTATTAACTACAATTAATAGAGATGTTTGTGTTATTAAAAGTGTTGAATCATTTCTCATCTGTTTCTTTCTTTGAGTTGCCGTTTGGCGTGTTCGGTTTCCACATTTTCCATGATAATAATAAAAGTTCTTTAGCCATGGTAACCTCCTCAGCGTAAAGGGATGATGATGATGATGATGATGATGATGATGATAACAGTAAATTAAAAATAAATTTATACAAGATACCCATCAGTTTGTCAGCACTGTTATCAAAGGAATCCTTTTAGAACTCTTGAGGAAAGAGTTTAAAATTTCTTGCCATTCTTCTTAGAGTTATGCCTCTGAAGAATTCCATCCTTGAGATGTCAAGCGTAATTCACGAAATGGTAAAATGCTTGAAGGCAAGCTACAAATCTCTCGCTAGTTTGTCGAACAAACAAAAGTTTACACTAAGCCATATGCAGAACCTCACTTCTAAAAGAAAGAGGGATTTTTTTGTTTTTTTAACTTTTTTCATTTTTTATCTTTTTCTTTTTGGATGAGAAGGTCGATGTAGACCATCATTTCGCCCACGCAGAGGAAAATGTTGGTTAAAAAAGCTTACAAATACCAAGGCTGAAACAAATAAACAAGCAAACAGACGAACAGACAAGACAAAAACATTGCACAATTCTTTCTTAGAAGAAATTGCCCAACAGCCCCTCAAAATTAAATGGTTCGTCCCTTAAAAGATACGTGTGTTTGACTTGAGGCTGAAAAGGCGTGGCGCATTATACGAATAAGACATTAGAGACGTCACCAATGTTTAGCTCAAGTCCTGTCTGAGTGACTGTAATTCTTAATGCCTTGTGAATGATTATTTATTCGACTGTTGATCGCTGTCCCGTGGAATTTTTCAGGGGGCAACCCTAGGGCCTTTTCTTCTTTTTTGTCGATCTCGACAATCGCCACTTTAGAAACGAGAAGGAAACTGGACCTAATTAACTTTCACAAAGACATTTGGGATTGTGACTGGGAACAGGGAAAAACATTGGCGAATAGTTGACCGATGTAGAAGGCCTAAATGTAATAAACGGTCCTAAATGTAATAAAGTCCTAAATGTAATAACAATTTGCCCTAAATGTAATAAACTCTCAAGCTGCCAATTACAGTAATTACTCGAATAAGCCCTGCCCTCAAATAAGCGCCGCATTTGGAGGGGGTGGGAGAGTTAATTAGCGCCGCTGCGCTTATTCGAGTAAATACAGTACTAAACGGTATTGCTATGGTATTAGGCTCCGCTCTCAAATAAGCGCCGCATTTTTGGAGAAAAAAGTTAATAAGCGCCGCGGCGCTAATTCGCGTAAATTCGGTTCATTTCCTTATGCACTGTGAAACTTAACGTTTACAAATAAATTGCTTGTAAACGGCAAAGTAACAGTATTTTTCTAAAAAAAGTAATATTTAAGCGATAGAAAACTTTTTTCCTGTGTTTGAATAGCCTGATATAAACACTCGAGGGGTTGGGAGAATTCGAGACAGTTATGCAAACCCTCGACGTCGTCTCAGGTTTGCATAACTGTCAAGATCGAATAAAGAATAAAGTGCATTTAGGGAGGAAGGAACCAAGAAAGGGGTTCTTATAAGGTAGCTGTAATTAGCTAGAGTTCGAGTTGCACTTACCCCCATGCCATATATTTCTAAACAGAGAGGAAAAGGTCGTTATTCTTGCTATGTGTGTACCATTTTCTTTTTGAATGAATGTCTTATTCAAAACAAATTTGCAATATGGATTTGCGAAGTGTTCCATTCACCTAGGCACGATTTCCGCGACTCTGTCGGTCCTTTCCGAGAAGAGACTGCTCGGTGGAGGACCGCGGGCTCATTTCCAGGACAGCGGCTGGTAAGCGAGCCCACAATTCACCTTGTTCACTCTAACGAGCCTATACTGTGCATAGGAAAGAAGCTAGCACAGGCAAGCAGCCTACCTGGAAACACAATTTTCAAAACATAACACGAAATCAGGAGTCATTCTGCATATTCCGAGGATAACAAATCTCACACTTAGAATACAAATCCCTCTCGATAACTGGTGTCGTCCCTCTCGTTCCAACGGAATGTCTTGGATACGAGATTACAGCAGGATTAAATTAAGGTTTTAAAAGGTTTATCTTCCAGATGGCTTTATTACAAGGATTATTTACCTTAGGTATTTTTTTCAAACACTGCACGTTTTCTAGATCACAGCGGGTTATTTTATTTTATTTTATTTGCCACCCAATAATTACAAAAAATATAGGAAAATAGAAAAAAAAAAAGAAGTGGGAAGGAGGCCTCCTCGAACTACGGGCTAGAGCTGTTTAACATCAATTGAAGAAAAGATGGCGAAAAGTTGAAGATGGAAAGATTTATAAACTGTTTTCGTACTTACTCAGTTATAAAAAACGTCTGCAGTTTGATTGGCTTAGAGCAGTGGTATTTCAGCTTAATTTGAAATACCTACATGTGAAAATTACAAACCTTTTGCTGGTAGTAGTATAAAAAAATAATAGCATGATTTGCAGTGATATTTGGCATAAATAGCACTCGCGCTATTTCAAAATTGTCTCAAATTTCACTCGCTTAACGGGTCATGAAATTACGTGTAACAATTTCGAAATATCACTCGTTGTATTTATGCCAAATATCACTACAAATCATGCTATTGCCTATACTAATCTAATCTTTAGTATTTCCTAAAAGAGGAAAGGGATTGAGAGTTGATGACGTCGTTGTCATGTGAATTAAAAACTCAGTTCGTTGAAAAAAGGGCAAGAACTTATTATATATATATTAGTGTTTGTTCGACAATACGGTAGACGGTGGGCATGGGAATTTCTCGTATTGTAAGAGTGGAATTGATTGCTTTGGGAGAAATTGTTATTCAGCCTTGGAAATAAGAATGCATTTTTGCAAGAAAACATAAATTGGCCCAGTCGAAGCAAATGAATATCATCAAATTTTAATTAGTATACCGAAGTCCTTAAAGATGGTCTCTATATAAGCATTGAAATGTGATTTATCAATAATTCTAATTATGCGCTTTTGCAGGATAACAAGACAGCGGAAATTGGTTTTATAGGTCGAAGCCCAAACTATATTGCAGTAGTAAAAGTAGGTTAAGTAACAGAAAATTAAATATCAAGATTAATCGACGCGCGGATGATCCACTTGCGACCATGCATTTTTGCCAAACGCGGTATCTAATTGGCTTTTTACAAATCTTTTTTGGATTTTTTACATTTGGACTTAATTCAAAAAATAAATGTAGTCAAATTACTCTTGAAGCTCAGTGGGTACTCACGTCCGATTAGATTTACAAAATGAATAAATATAAACTTATGTTTATAGCTGCGAACAGTCTGTTTTGAGGTGGCCATTTTGAATTCTAAACACGTGGGCAGTTGGTGTAAGGGCGGCAAGCAGGGTGGATTTTACGTGGGTTGCAAACTTCTCCGGAAACTAGATGGCTCCCCAAGAATTGTATTTTCTTAGAGTTATGAGATGTTTGCGAAGGTATCTCGTCTCCAAACCGGGTAACAGTTTCCATATGTAACTCAGCTTGAACTCATTTGAAATGGCCGGCATAAGTTAACAGATTGCTTGCATGAATAAGTTAATAATTATTATTTTTAAATTTCTTTCAAGTATGATTTTAAATCAGATTTAAGGCCTACTTACGTTGAAACAAGACATTTTTAGCTAGCTGTACTCGCTCTAAAACCGCCATTTTCTTACTACATAAGAATCAGCCGAAATTAAATCGCATTTTGTCTCTCTCTGGCGTAGACATGTTTTTAAAATTTAATTGCCCTGTTCCGCAGTAGCTCCAAAAGAACGCCACGGAGATAGCACGATGATTTAACGTTCTTAAGGCAATAAAACTTGCCCCAATACTATAGACGAACCATCAAAACTTGTCGTTTCTTGAATTTCTCCATTTACCCAAATTGAGTGGAAGGAACAGATTTGAATCTTGTCCTGGTAATGTTGTTGTGCCTTTTCTTACTTCCCCATTACGTTTGATGCCGATAAACATATCATAAAATTGTCTCATGTAATACTTGAAGGATGCGAAGGATACATATGAATTCTCTTCATGATGTTGATAAAACAAACATTCGTTGGTTGCATTTTCCTGCGGAGGAAATGAAAGAAATGAGTACCCACTGAAACTTACTTACATACATTCAAAATGCTCATATCTCTTGTAGTTGTTTTCGAATTCTGAAAACTGCGTTGAAACTGTTCTCGTAAGCCACGCCTCTAAAAGTTAGCCGAGAAGTCGAGAAACACCGGCATCCTAAGCGGAATGTGCCTGGCGTCGTTTTAACGAAACTGGAGAATTTCCCAGACGGAAGGGGTCGGAAATTGTTTTGAAACGTTTTAAAATACACTCCACGAACACGCTATAACAAACCGAAGATACACAATTTCTAGTAAATTGAAGTTAAAGGCTTTGACACAAAGGCTGCTTTTTTGAGCATTTTAGACCTCAAAAAGAATTTTAGAAAGCCCTGGGAATTCAGAGACGATAAGTAGAATTTCAGAGAAAAAATTATATCAGCTTTCAGTTGACGTTTTTCTGTTGTACCTTAGGAGAACAGTACCAGTTCAGGGTTTTCCCCGCTGACCAAGTTGGAGGGCTCAGTCTTCCAGAGACTGATGTAGGATCAACAGCAGTTTCCCTTCAATTTATAGGGTACTTATGGGAAAACCGGAAATTCCAGTGGGAAACAATGGTTCCCAGGGGTGACTCCGTATATGGAAGGGGTGGGGATACTCGTCGCCTCGCTTAGGGGTGTAAATTTCGGATTTTGGTCTCGCTTAGGGTATTCTGGGCAAAACACTATTATATTTAGCCGTAAAGGTCTCTGTTAGAGTTGCACTCGAAGGAATATTGAAAAATCATATATTTTCCATTCGTTTTATTTACTCGATTTATGTAATCTAAGTTTGATATGATCGCTTTCAGGGGTCAAAAAAAGGTTGGGCCACGCCCAGATTGGTCTCCTTTGGGAGTTAAATTCAAATTTCCGACGAGCATCCCCACCCCTTTCATATGCGGAGTCCCCCCCCGTCCCCCAAGGCAATGGTTCCCACCATTCCATTTGGGAAGCTTCAGAAAATACGGGCTGTGATTTGAGGCGATGCAATTTTTGCACTCATTTAATCTGTGTACAGTTAATTTCTTTATGCACAAGATTTCCACCCAGCGGGTAGTTTGTGTAAATTGCAAGCACCCTATATCTCATCAGAGCAACCCATTGAGGACTCTAGCCTGCAGAAAACATCCGTTTCTCCTCGCTCTTCGCCGATGGGGACGTTTCACGCGAAACGTCCCCGGCGGCGAAGAGCGAGGAGAAACGGATGTTTTCGCATGCTATGAGGACTCTTGAATAACTAAGATCACGGATTTGCTGCTTTTTTCGAGGTCAACTAAGGCCGTCTGTGTTTTTCTTCAGTGTGATTTTGTATATATTGATATAAACTTAAAACTGCCTGAGAATTCCAAAAAATATGAGGATAATGGTATAGAGAATGTTACTTGATTTTTTCGCGAATTTTTAGGCGTTTTTACAAATTTTTTGGAATTTTGAATTAAGGGAGCTTTTTTGGAGGAAATCTCTGAAACATTCTGGGCCTTCTTGGGAGGTCTCGCGACTTTCCAGGGGAAAATGTTTCCAGGAAAAAATAAATAAATAAAATAGCGAATGAAAGGCCAACTTTCATTTGACACTGATGCTTGCTCTGTTGTAGGTAATTTCATTTGGTTAGTAGCATGTCTTCTCCTCAAATGCAGGCACATTGTCTGCAGAGCAACTTTTGCAAAAATTTCATACAAAACTTAACTGAATAAAGGACTTGTGAAAAAATACAACATTAAAGAACGAAACAACTTCAAGATAAGTAAAGAAGTTAAGAAAGAAAAGTAAAGGATACAAAATCGGCAGACGTACTCTTGTTTGCAACATTCCTTTAGAATCCATGGCAAGATATTTCCCTGTTGCAATATTTAGGATTCGCAATATACTTGTTCCAAAGGACTGTAACTCAAACTTCACTGCAAAATAACAATGATAATAATAAAAAAAAAAGTATCACTTTGGTTACCTCCATAAAAGATACCGATTACTTTGACAATTCAGTCAATTAAAATTTAAACTGTTATGAGTCATTTAGAAAGAAATTGAAGGGGTGAAATAATTTGTCTATTTACTTTAAAGTAACCTTTTGACAAGGACCCTGGGAATGCAGTCGTATTTCCGGTCGTCGCTTCTCTCCACGTCAAAAGACGACCGGAAATACGTCTGCTTTTGCGAGAGCCTTTTAACTGTCATAACAGGCTCTCTCCATTTGAATCCTTTCTCTTTGTTTAGAAGAAAATGCAAGACTTGTCGCAGGGTACCACGACTTTTAAGTCAACATCGAAGGCATCACTGTTTGGCTTCCGTTCCATTTTTCGCGCGGCCAAAACCGAAAATCCCATTCCTCTTTCTTTGCTCCGAAACCACACGGAAACGCCTGACTATTGCTCTGGTAATGGCTACCAGAAGCACCTACTTGGGTACAGGAAGTACATATAGCACCAAATAGCACATCCGGTTTCACACGGTTTCTTGTTTTGAGATGGTCTGTTCCTCTGCTCCTCCCAGCGGTACTGCTGACCAAAAAAGGCTTCAGACAATTCCAAAGAATCCAAGGGCTATATGTCGGTCAGGATTCAACGTGTCCTTTCTTCAAGCTTTCGATTATTTTGTTCAAGGAACAGATCAGGGACCAGATTTCATAAATCTTGACGTCGGAAGTAAACGCTCCCTTTTATGTTGAACCCGTTTAAACGTTTTATTTTAACCCCACGCGTTAGCAACTTTATCTGAAGGTACGCTTTATGTGCCACTGACGCCAGCGATCCTAAGATTTTAGTCATTTCATACTTCAAGGCGGAAAAACTGAGGCGATACAACTGTTATGAAATAGTTGGATCTGAGAAAAATATTTCCGGAAAACAGGAAACGAACTTTGGGTAAGTAAAACATTGTTCAGAAGGAATGACTGATAAGTGACGTAAAGATTTCTTCTATAACGAAGGCGCTAGCTAAGAGTCGGGAGTCTTTTTACAGATTTCACTTTTTTAAACAAACTAAGTGAAAGTCGATATGATTTTGAGGCTCTCTGATCTTCCAGCAAAAATAAATAATATTTTGTACTTTCCTCCCCTTTTTGAGACAAACTTTGCCAAATATATTCTTAACACTAAAAACAATTTTTCATCTACCAATAAACATTCACGAACCAAATTTTTTCCACTTTTTTGATAATTGATGTCATAGCTGAGCTGCATTACAACTCAGTTTATGGCTAAAATTTCGTCCTCCGAAACTGTCGCGAAACGAGAATCCATTTTGAGCGCCTTCCCGGCCAATTATAGCGGCCAAAAGCATTGAATAGCAATGGAAAGTTTGAGTTACCGGAGCCAATGAAAACGCACTCGCAAACTGCCAGCCACTCACTGATTTGGTAAATACTTAAAACTAATAGCATTCAATTAATAAAACGTTATTTACTTAGTCGATAGCAAGAGTTAGTTTTAGAGTAGAATGGACAGTTCCATCACCGCTTGATGACAAAATTGAGTTAAGGCACTTAAACAGGAATATTGCAGACATACTTACCGTTTTCGCTATTTTGATTCAGAGAGCTTGAAATCGTTCCATTATGGTCCACCTGCAAGAACAAACCAACTCGACAAAAGAGAATCACTTGTTTCGTGTTTGTTGGTTCCGCTGTCAAAAACACTGGAGGTCCCTGGTTGGCGTCTGTCCTTCTTAAAATTTTCAATGGGCGCTTAAACATTCCCGAACTACCTTCTGTGGAAGTGTTTGCTTTGTCCGTGGTATTTGTTGTCTGGTGTAAGCTTATGTCGTGCGATAGGACATAAATCGGCATTAGGGCTAAGAGCACTTGGAAAACCAACTGAAAAAAATCAACAGCACCAGTCAACAACACTAGTCGCATAGCCTAAAGTAAGAATAAGAAATAGGAAGTCAAGCTATTGAGATTGAAGATATCCTTTACCGATAAGTATAAAATTCGCATCTTGAGCGTGTTGATCCGATTTAGCAACACTGAGAGAGGACAAGAACAGAAAATTGCAGAGGTACCACTCTCTGTGCTTGCCAACTGGGATATATAAAATTTCGGCTGGGCTGGAGAAGTCCAACGCTCTAAATTCCGGAATGTGACACCCTTTTAACTTTTTTTTTTCGCTGTCGCTTGTCAAAATCCACTGGCTTAAGATTCGGTGGTTTGTTTTTCGGTGAGTTTTATAAGTACAAATATGAAGGGCGTTAATCTCCTTAGCAATCTATTCTAGAGCCAGTCCCACTTATTTCACCATAGGCACTAGACAGTTTATGGCTCATCTATCTGCCACCCACTTTGTTTTGTTTGGATTATTGAGGAGCAGTAAATAAACACTGCGGAATTGCAATTTTGAGTGTTTTGTTTTCACGTTCTGGAAAGATTCTTTAAACTGAAGGGCTTTTTTGTTCTTTAAGTATGACAGTTCAAAAGCGTTTTTTCGATATATGATATAATATTAAATACAAGTAAAACATGCATATCCAGTTAGGTCATTGACAACATGTTTCTCTCAAATACAGAAACTTTTTAACAGAATCTTTTGCTTCATTATTTTCATGAGTGTCGCTCACTGACCTCATGAAGTTTCTTGCCTTGGCAAGTTATTGCAGGCAAAAATCCAAAGAATCTTCACTTCTCAATTTAAAATCCACTAAGACATTACTACGCTCTTCAACCCTCTTCATTTAATTGCATTTCCGTTCTGTTTTTATTTTAAGTTCGATTTTATTGTCGGAAAGTTTCGAATGCAGTCTACATGTCAAAAATTCACGCTTTCTTTACCCAGTTTTCAAAGACCACTTTAGCGACCCTACTTAGGAATCGAGGCAATGTAAACGATATGTCTGATTACTTCCGTTTTTGGAAGAAAAAAATGATAATACAAGTTAATAATCTTTACTTTGCTTTGAGCGTGGGACTTGTAGGATGAAAATATGTAGTGACGGGCGCTTTTTACTAAAGTTTCCTTCTGAACTTTGCATCTAAGTGAGGATAATACAAGTAACACAAGAGGAAAAAGAAAACAAAGACGGCACCCAATATTTGCCGAATTTGAGGGGAAATGTGGGGAACTTGCCACTGCAGGCGCGGGCTCACTCGGGGAGCACGCGTGGCTGAGGTACCCTTCCCTCCAATGTCGTCCCGGTTTCCCTCCTTGTTCCCCTCATAAACTAAAACTTTTAAGTTCCAACTGGAAGTTGAAGAGCCATTTTGTCAATGTGCTACCACTAAATCGTGGTCATCAGTTTATTTATTTATTTTAGCTAGTGGATTAAATGGAGAAACTAAATCTAATTTCCTAATCAAACTCAACCTTTTTTAAATCTAATTTCCTATTGTTCACGAAAGTTAATTTCACCAGGAACCGTCAATTAGATTCTTATTCCTTATTCTGAAACTGTAGACAGCATAAGAGGGATGACCTCATCAACACGGAAGTCGTGGTTGTAACTACATTCCATGATCTTCAAACCTCACGGATATTCAAGGCCACGGCAAGAAACCGATGAGGAGTAACGAGCTGTATTACGGCAAAGATTTATTAACAAACGACAGTAGACTAACCGCCTCAGTAAAAAGAAATATTCAGGAGTGCTTTTGAATTGCCCAAGACAAGATAGCCGCGAGTAACATTTCTTGTTAAACCTTATTAACCTTCGAACCCGGTGTGGGTGAATGGAACACTTAATCGCGAACGATTATCTGCGCAGGAAACTTACTGTGGGGGCTAAGAAGAAACAAGATGTTAAAGAGGGATTTTTAAAGTATCTGTTAATCCTATATTGTTTTTTAGAATCACTTCGTTGACGTTCCAGGCGATCCATTAGAACGTTAATCTTGTGATTTCTTCGGAATTTCGGGAGTATCTTATTTGGAATAAAAATTATTTCAAGTTTTTCTGTTTACAACTTTAACTTAGTATAGAGGCAAAGAGAGCAAAACAGACATCTGAAAAACTGCGATAACCTTGCGTGGCTGTCGACCCTTTTCAATTGTACTTAGAAAATAGTTTTCGTCTCTT